CATAACGATGGGAGAATCCACCTATTACGGTACTTGGGATTTATGCAATCAGTGATGATGAACCTTACACAAACAAAGATGAGTTCTTTGCTAAAGTTAACGATGAAATTACAAAAAAATGGGAATAGAAGAGAATTGGTAGTTATGCGAGACCTAAACAGTAGAGTAGGCCGTAAAGTAGTTAATAAGGGGTAGGTCCCTACGGAGAAATAAACCAGAATGATAATGGTGCAAGTCTAATTGAAATTATAGATTTTTTTAAACATAGAGATATGAACAGGTACACCTGGACCCAAACTACAAGAAATCTAAAATCAATTATAGACTATGTCATCATAAAACAAAATACTAATATGCAAGTACAGAACACAAGAGCATGCAGAGGAATATCATGTGGTTCAGATCATTATGTCGTAAAACCAAAGAAACCTGTCCATTTAGATATAAAATAACACATAATCAAACAAATTGTCAACCCCAACAAGAAGAAACTTAGGAAAAAAGAAGTTATAATTTAGATAGTTTGACCCAAGAGAGTACAAGCATATATGTATATCAACAAAGACTGGAGGGCAAACTAATGAATATAACTGAAACATCAACAGTAGAGGAGGTATATAAAAAACGTAGTCGTTAGCGTTAAAAAAGCTGCAGAAGAAGCACTTGGCTTTAACACTCAAAGACAAAGTGAAAGCCTATGGTGGAACAAAGAAATAGAAGCACTTGTAGAAGAGAAAAAGCAAGCGTATATCAGATGGCTGAGCAGTAAACAACAAAAAGATAAAGATGAATACCTGGAACTTAAAAGAATAACAAGAAAAACAACAGTAAAAGTAGAAAGAGAAATGTGGGACAAGAAGTGCCAGGAAATTAATACCTACCTGAAAGGCAAAAAATGTAGGGGACCTGGCCGAAAATGACATACTAGGGTAAAATGACATATCCGGGTATCTCTAACTTCGCAACATGGCTATGCGCTAAGAAGTTTTATACAAGAGCGTGGTGCATAATTGATGTTCCAACGGGCGTCGCGATCAGTTCAGTCGTTTACTTGTTAAAAGGTGGTTTGTGCTGTATTGAGTACCAAAATATTTTGGTATGCGACGTATACATATTAACAGAAACATCATGTTTGAAGCTTTGTTTGTTTAAACAAAAAATTTATTGTAAAAAACGTGTTCTTGTTTACACTTGAGTAAAACGACATATTAAATACTCGGTAAAATGACATAGTATGTCTTTTGCCTTATAAATTTTTAATAATAATATGGTAGGTAGAATATTAATGTATGGTATTTTTCTTTTTTAGTATGGTGGGACACTACGAAAGGAAAAGTACACGCCAGTCTTGGGATCCAGTACAAATGCAAAGAGCCATCCAGCAGTCCAGTGTGGAGACATGGGCTGGTTAAAAGCATCGATAACTTTTAATGTGCCCCAAGCTACTTTAAGAAGACGAGCATCAGACAAGAATAAACGGATATCAGATACTAATAAAGGTCTGGCCGGTACAAAACTACGTTCTCTGTAGAATCAGAAAGAGACCTCGTAACACACATAAAACTCCTAGAATCAAGTTTGTTTGATTATCTTGTGATGACATTCGTTCTTTTAGCCTACCAGTTTAGCAGATCGAAATGGAATTGTACACCGATTTAACACAACCACTAAGATGCTGGTTGGGATTGGTTACGAGGGTTTTCGGTCTAGACACCCCGATATATCCCTTAGAAAACCCGAGTCCACGTCTGCAGCAAGAGCGCAATCATCTCAACAGGCCGCAAATTGCCAATTTTTTAAAACTTTTAGAGGATACTATTACAAATAACAAAATTAATCCTACACGCATATGGAATAAGGATAAATCAGGCCTATCCACGGTTCGAAAACCCGGCAAAATATTTGCAACCAAGGGTCGGAAGCAAGTGGGCCTAATTACAAGTGCGGAAAGAGGCAGCACATAACGATGGTTGCTTGCATTAGCTCAGTGGGAATTATGTTCCACCAACATTTATATTCCCCAGGAAAAATTGGAAAAAAGAATTAATAGATGAAGCGCCTTTAGAAACTTTAGGAATAGCACAGGAAACAGGATGGATGACAGGCGAAGTATTCCTAACATGGATTAAACATTTTAAAGAAATATTCTAATCCTTTTATAGAAGACAAGGTTATGCTGTTGCTTGATGGACATGCGAGCCATAAAAACATTAATGTTTTAACTTTTGCCAAAGAACATGGAATAGTGATATTGTGTTTTCCGCCGCACTGTACCCATCGTCTACAGCCGTTAGATGTATGTTTCTTTGGTCCATTAAAGAGCTACTATGATCAAGAAGTTACTAAGTGGATGAAGTGTCATCCAGGCAGAACAGTTTCGCAATACCAAGTTGGAGGATTATTTGCTACACCAAGCGTATGGAAAGGCAGCTACACACCAAAATGCCGGTTAGTGGATTTTTAAAGACTGGAATTTTGGCCCCTTAATCCCGACATATTCCCTGAATATTTATTTAATCCTTCCAAAATAACAGATATTCAAGAAGAAGTTGCAATTCAACCCCTAACAGAGTCAAAAGAAGAGAATGATAATGTTTTGCGACATCAAGATTTTCCAGATCAAGGAAACAAACCGGTTTCTACACCTAGACCAAACTCACTTGAAAGTTGTTCTTCAATTAATCCTGGTATTCGTCCACTTGACATTTCACCTCTTCCATCGTGTTTCAGGTGTCCAGTCACGCTCCAAAAAAAGAAAATCAGAAAGAACAAAAGTTCTAACGGCTACCCCAAATATGAAAGAACAAAAGCCAAGCACTCGAGAAGCGAGCTACAGAAAAAACGTCAAGCTGCAAAGCGAGCAATTAAGAATCTGACTTTAAAGACACAAGATGACGAAGACGAAAATAATCCTCCATGTTTATATTGTAACAGTTGTACTCCCCATTCAAGGTCCAAAGAATTCTGGATTAGGTGCCAAAAATGCTCAAAATGGGCACACTGTGATTGTTCTGGATATCTCAAAATCGTGCAAAAAATTTATTTGTGAACTTTGCTAATTTAGTTTATATGACATTTTATCCATGTGAGTGTGTCGCTTTAGCCGAATATACTTGGATAAAATGACATAGCAACGTTTATTTTCTTTCCTTTTTTTAATTAAAAAATATTGGGTTGTTAGAGTTTTATGTTCCATGATCTGTTCTACTTCCAAACAATAAACAACATTTATGTTTTTTTAAATTTTTATTAAAAAAATAAAAAAGGTATTGGACGACAAAAAAGTAGTATGTCATTTTAGGCCAGGTTCTCCTATAGAAACATGGAAGTTTTTCAGTAAAATAAGAACTAAACGAAAAAGAGTACAAACATTCAATTAATATCCACACAAAAATGGGAAAAGTATTATGGGAAACTACTGACAGAAAATAGGGACGAATATATAACTTAATCACCAACAAGGTTAATATTGAAGAAGATATAACAATACAATTGACAGAAATTAGAAAATGCTGTAAAAGAACTAAAAACGGTTATGTCTTCAGGACTAGGGGATATCCCAGCCGAACTAATAAAATGTGGATCACAAACTTGGTGCATAAATCAATTTATAAATGGTTCTCCCGTACCCGACGAGTGGGAAAATTGCTTATATATTGTCAATCCATAAGAAAGGAGATAAGCTTAAATGTGAAAACTATAGAGGGATATCAGTCACTATACATTGAGCCATTTGTATGGACGAATAATTAGAGACTGCATTGAGAAGAATACAAAGACCAAGAGGAAGAAGAACAATCCGGTTTTAGAACAGGAAGAAGTTGTACTGATAATATCTTCTACCTCAAACAAATAATAGAAAAAAAAATTAAGCACAAATCAAGAAACCCACCCCATGTTTATTGACTTGCAGAAGGCGTACGATACAGTTCCTGTAAACAAACTCTGGAACTTGTTACGACAGACGAATATTAGTGTCACCTTAAAAAAGCCATAAGAAATTTGTATGAAGGGTCAACATCGCAAATAAAAAATGGAAACAGACTATCGCAAAGCTTTCTGGTTAATAAAGGTCTACGTAAGGGTTGTTGTGTATCACCAACCATGTTTAAAATATATGTTGCAAAAGCATTGAAAGAGTGGAAACGAAAATGCAGATTTATGGCGTAGACCTTTGAGAGATTTGCTTGTATACATTGCACTTTGATGACCAGGTTGTTATAGCAAACGATAAAGATGCTCTAGAGTACATGCAAGGAAATTACAAGAAGAATATAGAAAGTGGCGACTAGAAATTATTACAAAAAAAACAAATACTTGCCAATAGGTACCCGAACTATCGAACATCACAATAGAAAATAACGAAATCATCATACTCTGCGACCATTTACACATACCTAGGAAGAATAAAGAGAAAAATAACATAATCCAGAAAAACAATAGGTTGTCTACACAGCGTACTGTGATCATGAAATAGGAAAAAAAAGAAAACACAATATCTACGAATCTCTTATTAAAAGCAGTCATTGTACGGAGCGAAACTTGGCGAATATCCGAAAACAACAGAAGAAAACTGAGCAGTAGAAATGGACGCTATTAGAAGATCAGTAGAAGTGTCACGCAGAGAATTCAAATGGGTTGACGGCTCTCTAACAACAGACATAGAAAGAAAAACAGCTGATAATGTACGGACACGTCCAAAGGTGGATAACTCAAGACTCCCAAAAATAATTATGCAATGGGTACCACCAAACCGTAGAAAGAGAGGAAGACCCAAGAAATCTTGGAGAGAGGGAGTAACGATGGCAATAAGCGCAAGAGATCTTAAAGAGGGCCATAACCTGGGTAGTACCAAAAGAAAGGTGCTAAATGAAGTGTGGTAACCTATGTGCCCCCGTGTGGTGTAGCTTACTAAAACAGTGCGAAATACGCTAAGCAAATGAAGACTCACCAAAAGCGAATTCTCCTCAAGGTATCTAGCGCATATAGGACAGATTTAAATGAGTGCTCTATATATCATTGGAGCGGGTGATACTGATCGTTTGGTTGTGCAAAGAGCGAGCGAGGATGTATGCGAGGAGTATAAATGTAAATATAGATTAGAAATAAGAGAGAACAACGATAGCAGAGTGGCAGAGAGATTGGGCGAATGTAGTGGAAAGGCACGGTGGACGAAGGAGCTTATTCCTGATCTGAGACCGTGGTTAGGAATGTAATTTCGGGGAAACTAGACTACTTCCTGACGCAAGTTTTTGACCGGACATGGTTGTTGT